GCATAAATGTAACATGTATTTTCAGTTGTGTTTCTTAATAGTTTACTTTAGGTTTAGATGAAACTTAACATCAGTCCGAACTGTATTCTGCGAAAAAAGCAGTTAGATGTTTCCTCGCTGTTGCAAACGCAGAATCGCCTCATAGAAGGTAGAGTGGAATAAACATAACGACAATTTGAGAAAAGTTGCGTAAACATTTATATGCGTTTACTAAAATTGAAATGACAGCTTTACTTACGTTTAGTTGTGCCTGAAACCTTTGGAGCTGCTAAATCCGTCGTGCTATGAAACAAAGAACTCGTATGTATCATAAAAATCAATGACATACGTAATCAATGACTACACATGGTGTGCGAACAGCAGATGTGTCGATCAAAAATAACAGATGGTGGATTTGAGGTTACCATTACTGTGAGACATATTCATACGACTTACTTACATCACTCGACCTACTTAAACATATGTATATATAATATATATACATCGTTCACATCACGACATAGCAACCTGATTCTAAGCTTTGCGATATTTTATTTCTACATAGTTAGCTTTGTTTGTACTTTTCATTATTGACAAATTATATTTACTACAACATTTAAAAAAACAACTCTTAATGAATGATGGTTCGTTTGCAACATCCGAGTTAAGTCAAATCAGTGAACATAATGCGGAACGAATACGATGCAGATGGTACAGTCAGACATATCTCAATATATAAGCATAACATATCAATTGTATCCCATCTTTAACCATTTTGGACAATTTTAGCTGAGACTTGGCAGAAAGACTCATAGCCTTCATATAGAGGAGGTATGGACATCATTCACAATACACCACGTCATTTGTTTTTTGCAAAGAAATATTAGCAAGACAAGACAAGATTTAATAGGTCAAAAACCAAAATACTACATGTCATTGACAATATATTGATCTTCAGCACATGGCGGGATTATACACAGTATAAATTGTTATTAATATGCAATGATTATGACACTGTCCAAGAGCAAGGGTATATATAGTAAACGCTTATAAGTATTCATGTTTATTTCTTTCATTCATAACATAATCAATTCAATAAATGGTATTTTGGTACACTCCATCTACCTTTCTCAATCATAAACATGGGAGAACGGAGACAAAAACGTGTCGTGGCAATTCTGTACTTTTTAACGTCAATATTAGATAAATATTTCTCGAAGCAAAGAGTTTCCTTAATATAAAGATACAATCTGGTTTCACTTAGAGCTGACAACTGGTGTTTCCACATTTGGGAATACATGTATATATCGCGGTGGGCGAGCTGGCTAAGGCGCCAGCTTATTGATCCAGGCTGAGGTTGAGGTGTCGGGATCGAGCCCACCTGTGACCGGGTGTAAAAACCTTGGAGTCAGCTTTGTGTGCAGACTCTTTCAGTGTTGACACAACCCTGTGCACTAAAAGAACCCATATGACCAGATGGTGGCCACATGAATACGTGCAAACACCTAGTTGCAGGTACAGCAACGTGCAGTGAACTTGGACAAAGTACTGTGTCTATGTGTCCCAGTCCACCCAGCTGTGAATGGGTACCTCGTTAGGATGAGAAAGCCGCAATAACTCGGTGCGCCAAGTGGCTGCAAGAGTTATGTACTCCCCAGGGAGTTGAGATTGATAATACGATGTGCCGTTGAGATTTACATCCAATTATCGAGGGGAAAAAATACCAGCGCCTTGAGCATGCACTAGTTGTCTGGATATGTGCGCTATATAAATATCTAATAATAATACTAATATCTCTAACCCTCTGTGTAAATCCTTTCACAAAAGCATCGCTATTGGGAACAAACTGAGCAACCCACACATAGCCAAAACCGAACCTAAAAAGGGTATCTCTCAACAAACTTGCCCAATTTTCAGTATTGGGATTTGCATTCAAACTTTTCAATAATGAATTATATATCAAAGCAATATATCTATTTGGGTTACTTCTCAAAATCTTAATCCAATATTTGATAATACGTACAAGCCTTAAAACTTTAAGTTGACAACTGGTGTTTCCACATTTGGGAATACATGTATATGTCGCGGTGGGCGAGCTGGCTAAGGCGCCAGGCTATTGATCCAGCGATAAACCTTAAAACTTTCAGAGGATATGTACCCAGTTCTCCATATAGCAATGATGACGGAGTTGACATTTTCACATATAGAATATGTTTCATAAATTTTAAATGTATCCTTTCAATGGCATCGGCTTCCATAAAACCCCAAACCTCACAGCCATAAGAAAGAATGGGGCAAACAACTGATTGAAATAACTGATATTGTACATCAGGAGTAATATATGCATTGATATTAAATATTTTATATAAAGAACCAATTGCCTTTTGACCTTGTTGCTACAAAGTTTTCTGAGCCAGGGAAAAAATTGTACCTACTGAAAATATTAGACAAAGATATTTAAAATTACTGTCGACAAAATGTCATAAAAGCCACAGTGGTCACGATGTCAAGTACTCATATATCCCAACCATACGTCGTAGCTAAAAGATTTACTGCGCTCCTCTCTAAATGCAATATTCGTTTTGACAAAAATCACGGTTTCGTCCAGACTACATGTGTACGTTGCGTATGTATTGTAGTGTCTAGAATAACACTTTATTGGAATCGTTATTGGACACACGACATAAGCTAAATATCAGTTGCTTATGATTTTGCAATGGAAAATTTTCGTCCTTCATTTACAAAAGGTCTAATAAACCTAGTACAGATCCTTGTGGGACACCCGACTTTAGTTCATGAGGACTGCACATTGTTAGTGAGGACTTTCTGGTGCCTACTGTTCAGGTATGACCCAAGAAGGTTGAGAGCAGTGCCCTCAACTCGCATATTCAGCCTGCGTATTATGAGAAGCATGTAGTGACTTACAGTGTCAAACGCTTCTGACAAATCTAACAGCACAAAGGAGGGAATGTTTCTATTGCCTACTAAATGTCTCAGATCACTTACAGCCCGTAGCAATGCTGTCTCCGTGATGTGGTTTTCACGATATGCCGACTGATGTTTGTACAGAAGATTGTTATTTTCCAATGTTGATAGCCTTTTCAATGATCTTGGGCAAGAATGCGAGATTTGACACAGGTCTGTAATGTTTCATGTAATCCTTGTCAAGATTGTTCTTCCTCCAACAGTGGACGCCTGTTTGAGTGCATCAGGAAAGATCCCGGCAATGAGACATGAGTTCACTAAAGTACTGTCGGAAATAGACAAAAACTGTTTTTAGGCTCTTACTCTGTATCCCTAAAATTTACACAGCTGCAAATAGCATATGTCAAAATAACCCACTTCGGCCCAACTTGGCATTCAGTGGGATGCGTAATAGGATATCCAGAAAAGTATGTTTATTCGTAACATCGGGTAAAACTTAGAAAAAATACGAATAGCTGCTAAAAACAATAGATCAGACTATAGATGGCAATTAGGTCGCTCAGCCAGGTATGACGACGGACCGTCGACTCACCTGGCATGAAATGCATGTGCTGCCTACAGGCGCCCAAGGGGTCATCTCAAAGATATTTTGTGCTTTTTCATGTGTTGACTATGCCTCATCTATTGATTAACAGCTAAAGTGTCTTTCTTTCATAAAGTTTATGTTGAGATACGTAAAAGAGTTTGATACCTGATAACCATAGAAACGCATCGTATTAAATGTCTCAAAATATATAGGTGGCATGACCACCCGATCGCGAAGATCGACAGGACTGGATATTAAAGTGTTATGACATGCCGTATACTTCCCCAGTATTATTGCCCTAAAGGATTATCGTATCTTAGCTGATATCTCTATCCCCAAGCCCGACCCCAACGATCGTCTGCGACACACGTCCAGGTTTTGCTTTTGAGACGAACCCTCCTATCTGTTTCTTTTTATAGTGACAGTGAGACTCCATGGTAGGTACATCCTTAATAGTTTCAGCAAGAAAGTTATTATTTTTTACGCCAGCTATCGTTTAAAATGAAGCTGCGTCTAATTTCAAATTTGTCACTTAAAATGTGTCCTTTATAATACAATATCGTCGCACACTATTTTGCATACAGCCTTGGTCTGTTCCAAATACTTCGTTTTGGACTTAGAGAAAAATCGCATTGCTCATTTCTGCACTAATCTCTCCTCAGTAAAGTCCATTTTCTACGTTTCTTGTGTCCCTACATTTGAGACTGTAGTTAGGCCGAACTTAGTTTAAGAGATATTTCACACTTGCACATATCAACTACATAAATTGTAGAGATAAATGAGAAAATACAGTTTTTTTTCTATTGATAATAATAATAATAGGCCATTTATATAGCGCCTTTCCACGTCACAGGGATATGCTCAAAGCGCTTCTTATTTCCGACAGTACTTTAGTATGTTTGTGATCACTGGAAGAATGATGTCCAGGTGTTCCATCAGAAACTTATTCGGCACAGGATCTAAAATACACATACTTTTCTTTAATGACATGATGATCTTCGCAATGTCTGCTCTGCTGAATAGCTCTAATACACCCAATGGGCAATATTCCGGAGTTCACGTGGAACAACTTCTGGCCAGTAACTGGTGTAGAGGCAATGCTCTTCTTGATAATGTCAATCTTGTTGATGAAGAATTCACTCAAACTGTTTCCCAAACCTTTCCTTGTTGTCATGATGTGGTAATGTCGGGTCTTCCTTCTTGCCGAGTAGAGACCTCATGTAATCAGTTAGCTGTCTAGGATTGCCTGATTTTCTTCTGACAGTGTTCCTGGGTACTTTGTGTTGAGCATTTCGGGAATCCGGGTAGATTTAAATTATAGATTCAACATATATGTCTACATTCATCACTTGGTCAGTGATACCCTACACCTCACACCACTTCCTGTCTGTGTATGTTATTTTATACCGCAAATGGACCAGCTCTTCATGGAACAGAAAACATGTTTGATTTTAAATTTCTTTATTGTACAGCCACACCATTGTCAAGTCAACGTGAAAATCTATGAAACGTTTCTTTGTATAATTGGCCAATTCTACCTCAGGAATAAGCAAAGTCACTATGATCATTTACACGTAATTATCGTCCAAACTTTCGCCTACATTTGGACACACCAAACGGTGTCGGGGTGGTGGTTGTAGTTGTTGGGCAAATATATGGTTCATTACAGGTGTTGCAACACAGAATACTCTTTACGTCAGGCCTGTAGTTAGGACACTGAGCGGCGTCACAAGCAGCAGTTGGATCATCTCCTTGAGGACATCCCTCTGAAAATGTTCAGATACACATTATGTAATGCTAAAGATTACACTGGGTATCCGAATCTTATGAAATTATATCCATATTAGCTTTGTGTCTATTCTAATAACTGAGTTTCTCGTAAATCAATACGTAGCTATGAACACATTGGGGATTATTACACAATTGATTCCTGTAAAAACAATGTTATTGTTGTTTGATACATAGGTGTGTTGCAACGCGTTCCTACTGTTATCATTTTATTGACTTACAGACTTACTCAATCTAATTCTAAACTAAGTTGGCTCTGTTATCTGGTGAACCTTTCTGAAATGACGTACATATTTTAGAAATTACTTTACAAATGAATTACTTTAGTTGTGACACACATTGTTATTTAAAAATGAAAAAACCGTCAAAAGCCTATGTCAGTAGTTTTCTCATTCAAGAGAAGAAAGTACATGAACATATGAAACAAGCCACATGATGTTGGTACCTACAATAATCACATGACAACATGCCGATACTGTAACGAATAATCATACTAGGGTGATTTTCATTTGTGCGAAATAAACACTGGCCCGCTAGTAAAAATCCAGTCTAAATCTCCACAGTCAGCGGCCCGACTGGCTAGTTAATTTTCATGGGGTCATTTTGTAAATATATCACACTCTCCGTCTTGTTGATTTATAATACACTTTTAAATCATGCTGGATTATGGCCTGATGAAAATATTCATCATATTAGCAGCTTAATGATGAAACCCGTGTGTACATTCAAATTTCGGGCTAGTGAATTATTTTGTGGGCTAGTAATTTTCAGACATAGCTAGCCCGACTGGCAAGCACAATTTGGAAACTACTTCGCATAATGCTGACATAATAGGATATGAGTATAACGATGACAAGTATCGATGGAGGGTGAGGTTAAAAGGCAATATGTATTTGTACAGAATGCGATCAACTGCAGTTAAGAGGTGTCTGATATTACAGGGGCTGTGGGGTAGCCAAGTGGTTAAAGCGTTTGCTCGTCACGCCGACGACCCGGGTTCGATTCGCCACATGGGTACAATGTGTGAAGCCCATTTATGGTGTCCCCCGCCGTGATATTGCTGGAATATTTCTAAAAGCGGCGTAAATCCAAACTTACTCACTCACTCTGATATTACAGAATCATCAGTGAATATATGTCACAGACTACTGAAGCCATCAATCCTTCCACGTCAATGCCTGTTTACCTTAATGTTCAGTCAGAACGCTAAATAATCTAAACGTAGTCTTCAATTAGATCAGCAAATTCAAATAGGCCAGACCATGCATTGTACAATGTAACTCTGCATAGTTTCAGACCCGTGAAGATCCGGGTTAGAATTGATCTTCAGTTACCCATGCTTGTCGTTAGAGGCGACTAACGGGATCGGGTTATTAGGCTTGCTGACTTGGTTGACACAAGTCATCGTATCCTAATTGCGTAGATCGATGTTCATGCTGTTGATCACTGGGTTGTCTGGTCCAGACTCAATTATTCACAGACCGACGCCATATGGCTGTAATATTGCTTGGTGCGGCGTTAAACTAAATTCACTCACTTAGATAGTTTCGCTTATTCCATATTTCTTGTATCCAATGTTTTGAAATAACTGTTTACGGCCTTACATTCAAGGAGGGTCTTACTTCAGATTTTGAAAGTATCAAAACAAGTGTCTCGTGTGAAGATATGTCACTTTAAACAGGTGTCGAAGCGCGCCGGAGAAAAATCGGAAGATGTGAGTTCATAAACTGATATAAATACAAATTACCACCGACAACAATAACCTTTACTAATGTAACGACAGAACTGCAGCATATCACTTATAAGTATGGAGTATAGGGACCCGACAGCTGAGCCTAGTTAACTTGAATATCAAGATATATTACACCTTCTGAGTGTATTATATACTACAAACAAATTTCATTTCACTCAAACTCAACGAGTATTGAATCAGTTGCTTCACTGCTTGTCCATCATGTCGTTTAAAGTGCCCATTAAGCACACAAAAAGTTGCATTTACCTTAGAGTATAAATGACCTCCCCAAGTTTAAGTTGGTGTATGACTATCAAAGTTTAGGGTGTTCCCATACTTTTTGTTTGTAGTATATATTAATTTGTCATATGAGTTTAATTTTATGAGTTCAATGTGTGAGACATGAGACTTTATGTCGGTATTTTGAGGCTAGTACAATAGATAACATTTCTGTTTGATACAGTGAGAGATTAAATGATTTGATAGTCTCCGTTATTAATTTGCATAAACATGTATGACATTACCACTGTTCAATGTCTGAGTGAATATTAACATATTGACATTTTGATAACCCATTCATTATGATACTTTAATCTGAGGTCAGGATACACTCATTTTCTGCGATACAAGTTTCTCCAAATTTGGAATGAGTCGATTTGTCAGATAAAGAGACTTGATTTACAGATTAAAGAATAAAAAGACATATATCAATCTTACCTCAAGTTCAAACCCAACACTACAGCATGATGACATATTTGAACAATACGAACTGTGTCAAATGAATTGCAAGAGACCGTGCCAAAACGATCTACCTATCAGAATTGTCACTACTTTGTCAATCATATTTCTTTCTTTCTTTCTTTCCCGTAAATCACTTCTGAAAGTACCCACACACCCACGATATCAAACTATCTTACAGCACAAAATATAGATGAGAACGTTTAGAAATATCAATTGACGTCCAATACTTTTGGAAAAGCAACATACCTGATTTATGTCATCTTAATTGTTGTCCGTTTCTTAATATCCGAACTTTACTTTACAGGGTATGCGTACATAGGGGAACCTCTATCTCTGTACGTACAAAGGGGAACCTCTATCTCTGTACAAGCAATCACATGTCTTACCAACAGTAGCCGGAGCCTCAGTGTTTGCTACACAACGCCCAGCTTCACACCACTGTCAAAAAAAAGTATGAGGAAATCTTGAACAATACATTCATGATCAAATTTAAGGCATTCTTCTTTTTGCTTTAACATTTGCACGCTTCCTTTGACCGTTTAATATGAGCATAATTACACTGTACTCCAACGGTTTTACCTGTGTCCACTGTGATAACGTCAACAACAAATTCAGTTTCAGGAGATAATTCTCAACAAATGTTACCTTTCCATTGCCACAGGAGGTCCTCGGAAATGGAAAGATCTCCAAACACTGTGATGGAACTGCAGGATTAATACACCGGAGAGAGATGCAGATGCTGTCAAAACAGTTCTCGATCTGTGCTGTTTCCTCCTAAAAAGTCAATCATGATCGAGGTAGCTATGTGTAGTTATTTGCCTATCCTTAATACGATGCTAAATCAGTGTTGAAAATCGGGTAACTACAGATGGCTAAAAACCCGTTATTTATTATCACTACAGTCGTGGGAATTATTGCACACTACAGTTTTTATAATGTTTCCTTTCGTTTTAGAATAGCATATTATTTATGTTTTCAATTTCCTGTACAGGACGACAGCATTAATACATCTTGTGCCCTCATATTTGATCAGACATTGGGAAAGATTGGTGCTGTTGTTCAGTGGTATCTTATATCCACTGCACACAGAAGCCTTTTATATCTAATTGACGCGATGTGCCTGGCGAAATCGATTTGCATCTATATTTTACTTATGTTGATGAGGTTTATGTCAAAAGACAAGAAGACGAGAATTTATTCGGTATCAAATATCATTGTGAATCAATAGTTACATGATGCACAGCTTTCATTTCACGTTTGTGTTATTGCTTAAGACACCTTCAGATTGTTATGAGGCATCATAGCACAAAAATATCAAAATTCAAATCATTATGTCAACCGAAACTTTAAATCAGGTAACGGAGTACTTTGTAGCTCATCCTAACGTCTGGTATTGATTCCATGCCCTGATGATCACACCTTTGCTGATGCCTTTGCAGCCGGACGCAGTTTCAAGCATGAATCTGCCTAATACTCCGACGTCTTTGACGTGAATTTGAGGGGAAATGGGCTTTAACGTCGTACGTGAGAATATTTCGCTCATATGACGACGTACAAGCGTATGTATGTGTGGCTGCTTCTACTAGCCCAGAGATGATCACGTTGTTGATCACTGGATTGTCTGGTCCAGACTCGATTATTTACAGACCGCCGCCATATAGCTGGAATATTGCTGAGTGCAGCGTAAAACTAAACTCAATCACTCACTCTACTAGCCCAGGCTTAATCTGGTTCTATAGTGCTAGCTCACTGAGATACCATGCCGCAGTTAAGCATGAATACCTCACTCCGACACATTATACTGACTCCGAGCCGACCAGTCCTTGTTGTACCCATTAATGCCGAGCGCCCGACAGGGACCAACAAGTATGACGTGAAGGTGGCATAAAGTGTATTCAGTTGTTGCAAACCTCAGTAGTACTTGTTGTGTACACATTTTGTCACCGTGCATTACACCGTATACATGACTACATGCCTCTGTCAGCATGAGTGAGTGGGTATGGTTTTACGCCGCTTTTAGCAATTTTCCAGCAATATCACAGCGAGGGACACCAGAAATGGGCTTCACACATTGTACCCATGTGCTGTCAGCATGAAATGGAGTGAGGGGGTGAGTTATGATTTTACGTCACATCGGTATTATTCCAGCCATTTTGTGAGACAAACAGTTTTATGCTGAGAATAAATATAGTAATACTTTTTGTAAAATACTGTCAGCAAAGGACAGTATAACAACTAGATTATCACAGATTAATTAAAACTAGTATGAGATCAGTTTAAAATGCTAAGTCAGTTGTCAACAACACAACATAAAATCAGACTATAGATCGCCAGCAACTGTCGGTAAATAGCCATGCAAAGGACCATGGGACTTTCAGTGCTTTTGCTACCTGCATGGACCCTATCAGGATCATGAAATGGAGGTTCTGTGCCCAATGATAACGAATAAGGGTATTGAAAAAATCTTCATTTGTTGCTTGATTCTTGTGTTTGAACCCCAAGATCCGGTTTCTAAATAATGACGTCATGTTTGATTAAAACATATTGGTTAACAGTTTTAAGGGTGAATGTGTCACGGTATCAAGAGTATTGTGAAATGTTAAATTAACCACGGTTATGTCTAATTTAAACTTAGATAAACTTGAACTTCAAATCTCTTCCTAATCAAGATTTTATCTTAGTGTAAATGACATAAATATACCCTTTTCCGGAAGAAACAATCTATTCCATATAAAAAAAAATATCAGATAAAAATTTATTTACCCTGCAAAACCTTGAAGTTAAACCCACAATAAACCGGCATTGTGCATCGGCATCAAAGAGCTGCCCAGATGGTCCTCGGTCTATGGTGGGTAGGTTTGAATCTTGACGAGTGCACGCTGCAGTCCTAAAATCAGATGCCATACATCCGAAACCATTATAATGCCTTCTTATGCCTTTTTCTATTGCATTACAAAGTGGAAGGAACAAGCACCATTTGCAGACCTTGAAAGAACATGGAAATACTGACAACCAAACTTTTCAATAGTTGTGTGAAGGACTTTAAACATTTTGTACTCAATTTTGTTTTATAGAAAGCACTTTCTAAGGTTTGAAATGCGGTATATTCGCTTCGAAAGTATGGAGTGTTTCTAGAGAGGATATCTCGTTGAGATCAAGATTATGTGGCACAGTAGGCTATGCAGATGATGAAAATGCATTTTACTATAACGTTGCACTTCAACATGTCTCAGTATCACATGACATTGTTATCCTTATCAACAACAGTAACTCCTGAAGAAAAGAAAACAAATGGCTGAAAGGAGACATACTGTAGAGTTGTGTTGAACTTGGCAATACTGCATGGTGAAAAACGAACTAGATTGGCCAAGCAAGGAATCGGGTATGGCATCGGGCGTGACAAGAAATGCGGTCATAATAAAGAAATTCGCATCTGAACACCCCTCTTCGCTATCGTGGAGAGCTCCAATGCTGAAATGAAGATAGAGATTTCTCATTATATCAAAGACTATTCTGTTAATAGCGTATGTACTTGGAATGCCAGGTCTTTATGGATCACCAACTTCTTTATTGTACACCAGAGACGTTTCGTTATAGATACTTATACTCTTTTCAAGCATAATGCTTGAAAACGTTATAAGTATAAGTATCAATACCGAAAGGTCGCTAGTGTACAATAAAGAAGTTGATCATCCATAAAGACTTGTCATTCCTATTACTTACAACTTCTAGAATGCCTCAAATAGTGTACTTATACCGCGCAATACTCCACACCACAAATTACAAAGGGGCATGTTCAAAGCGCGCACAAGCAGCTCAAGATTATTACCACCGATAACCCAAGCTGCCTGTTAGGCGCCAGAAGGTTATTGTCAAATGACTTTCCAACCCGGTACCCATTTTCTGCTGGGTGAACAAAGGCAATTTAAAACAAATTCACTTGCCTCAGGTGAGGCACCATATATAGACCAGGTTATATCTTTTATGTCTTTTGGCAACAGATAAATACCACATTGGCTTTGATAATGTCTAAGGTATTCCTCCAGATGGTCGGCCATACTATATGGCACAAAAGCCAAACGAATGGAATGGAAATCATATAACCATTGTCATCGAATAATAGCAGTTACAAAAATGCCATATTTATAGCCAGTGTCGGTCTCTCGTTTTTAGTATCAGAACCTATCTTTGTAAACAAATGGGTTTCATCTTAAAATAATAACAGAGAATCTTCGTTAAAGGGGCTATAGTGCCTGTATGATCTCGCGAGTCGCTACTTCCGGAACTAATCTGGTTTTCGGCTCCCTTTGCGCGCCACAACCTGTAATATGCGAGACGGGGCCCAGCTTACTTCCTTTACCAGATGACAAGCGTATATTCAAGAACCAGTTCCGGTTCCAAATTGCGGGGGGGCGGTGGGGAAGCCTCGTTGTTAAAGTGCCCGCTCGTCACGCAGAAGACCCGGATTCGATTCCCAAGATGGGTACAATGTGTGAAGCCCATTTATGGTGTCCCCCGGCGTGGTATTGATGGAATACTGATACCAGCGGCGTAAAACTAAACTCAATCAATCAATCCAAATTGCGCGACCGCCTAATATGACTTTACTAGACCGGATCAAGTGTCAACAGCTGTGACAGCCGTAATAGTTTGCTACGTTGGGGATGGTTAGATCAGAAATGTGTTCTTCCTGCAAGGATTACCTGTTCCTTACTGTCAACTGACAACCATGAGACCATTCGAAAAGTTACCCTTTTAAATTTCGAAATATATTGGCAGCAACTTTGTTTCAGGTGCATAGCAGGAAATGAGCTTAATTAACAATGCTAGCAAATAAACTTGTTACTTACTCACCACCCGACATTATAAGGAAATAAGTGCACCATCAAAGGGAATGAATGGTTGTAAAACATATTTTAGTTGACAGAATGAGTTAATATGACAGTGATCTGAGACGAATGGTGTTTTATTTATACAAGCAGGAAACTATGATATTTTACCACGTATTTTACCATTCCACTTTTAAAGCCTACTTTTATTATTTTCAGTTTTGTATTGACACATGACTTTTAATACGATATACTCGTTCGTCCCGTAAAACATTTACTCCTCAAAACAAAAACGACGGAGGGTAAGTCATACCTGTGTCCGAGCTCATGACCTGCAATCTGGGACTCGAAGCCGGCCAACTGGTTCTCATTAAGGGAAACAGAATAGTCTGTACACAGAGCGTCAACGAAGGCGAGACCTTAAAGGATGAACGCATGCATATCAAAGTCGTTTCTGAAATTGTGGTCTCTAATATACGGAGAGACAAATCTAATCTGACTCATTATGCATTTATTTACTTCAATGTATGTTTGCGATTTTAAAAGAATGAACGTGTATGTATACTTTTCGTGTGTATGCGTATAAACATAAAATCTGGTGTGGATATTCACTGCATTTAAGCGAAACAGCGCACATCCTTACCAAATACTTTCGTAAACGCAAAGGAAAAACAAACAGGTCAGTTTGTTTTAACAAATATGCCGACAATAATAATGCCACAAGTAAATAATCATTAATAACAAAACTGCTGAATAGAATACGGGCTCAGTTTCATCGTACAGAGCAATACTGCGTACCTGTTATCAGCTAGTCGGGACTTAATAAAATAGACTATTAGTAGGACCCATTCACCCATTCACTCACTCACTCACTCGCTCGCTCGCTCGCTCGCTCACCCACCCAACCATTCGTTCGTCCATCCACCCTTCCATCCATTCATTCATTCATTCATTCATTTATTATAAACACAAATCAAATTATTTGGTTACCTAATTAAATGCCACGGTATCACTTGCACTATTCTTTCAGTTGTTTTTTTATATGCGTGATACAAGGTACAGCTTAACAAAACGATAGCGGATCCATCGCATGGTACAAAGAAAAGGAGGTCGATGTACATTCACATCATGGTACAGATGACAGCTCCAGCTGGCAAATGTAGAGTCATCTTATACTGACAGAGTATATTAATCGCAAGATACAGGCAATCTTGTTGTGTATGTACCGTGTGCCATTGTCCGTGAAACGAGTATTTGTACAGTAACTGTCCTTGAAGTACATCTTTTTTCGATGAAAATGCATGTACATAATAAATTTGCAATTAAATTATAAGCAGTTTTCTCAAGATACAAACCTAAGCTTAATGTTATTTCTTGTATGTATTACTTTTGCACCCTGGCTTAGCAAGAAGTGTATGCATACGCCATGTATAGTGGAGAAAACAGATCTGTGATCTTACTTACCTACGATGGACGTGCCAGCAAACCGATCCCACAGGACAAGTCTACAGAATAAACATCATACATGGTCTTGTATTACTACACCAACTTCTAAATGCCTTTGAAGAATTTCATACATGGTTACTGACCTGAAGTATCATGGTCAGAATTAATTGTGTCATTGCACGGTTTACTAATTTACACACGTTCTCAAACTTCAAATGTGTGGATGTGTGAATGGTTCTCACAGTAACACTAGCATCATAAAGTTGCATTTGTATGTTGTTGTCAGTGTTGGAAGCAATTAGTTGATCCAGAAACTTGTACGTATATGAATTTAGTTCGTTTGACTAAGGTTACCACATTCAAGGCCTCAGTAAAGCTTTCAAGAAGTTTTATGGTAGACATATGGAGGACATTTCCAAATTTAATGCATCAGTGACAAAAATGATGTCAATTCCCTATTTTGACTTATAACATACGTTCCCGAATTATTTCAAGTGAACAAATGACTAGAATTGGCATATGTTTATGACGGGTGCCACCGGTGGGGCAGGATACGCTCACCTTTTCGCGAGCACCTGGTATCATCACTATTTCATTGTGATTCATAAACACATGCTCTGTCATCGTATCGCATGGTGACAATCACTGGATTGTCTGGTTTAGACCCGATTTGTTTACAAACAGCATCATACAGCTGTAATACTGCTGAAACAATTATATGTTCATGATATAGTCACAATTGTATAATCGACTCTGCTTTGGGCAGGGATTTCTTATGAATGTGGAAAGGGTTTTGTCGCTTCTATTAGTGTGAAACCTACAAATACCAAAGATATTAACAACTGTATTATGAAATTAACTATGTTAACAAACCAATACACTTCACTGCAAAAGAATTACCATAGCTGTACGAAATTCGGAGCGGAAGTACAAATTCTTTCAATGGCAGTACACAATAAAGTAGAGGTGGTAATGGCAACAAAGTCAATGATAATTTAGTATTCACCTAGCAGAAGCTATGATCAAGCATCCAAACAATCCTGGAACGGATATCCAGGATCAGTGAGTGAGTTTAGATTTGTCGTCACATCGGCAGTATTTCAGTCATATCGTGGACAATATGCATCAATGACAAATACATTTCAACAGTATAAAATCCTGTCGTTGGAGGACAGTATAACAACCAGATTATCTCAGTGTTTTAAAATTACTTTGAGGACAAATAAAATATTATAGTAAACCATCAGTTGACAAACACAAAATAAATAGCCAAATCGTGACCACACGAACATTTTTTTTCACTGACTTCATTAATGAACCAATCTTTATACAGCTTGACATAATATCCACACGCCTATAAATGTGATAGACGAAAACTGCACAGATTATTATTTGTTACGATGTACCTTGATCAATACCTCTTAGTTAACATACTTAGGTCTTTTACCATCTGCAACGTGAATGCTACACCTATGTCTATGTACCTATAATATTAATCCTCGTATTCTGTACCTGAAATGCTATGGGGACCTTATAACACTTTGATACAGGGTTGTTATAATAAAAGCTCTAGAAAAAGTATGCAAACTTTTCCTAAATGAATCTATAACTCGTGACTTTTGAAACGTACGTGTTATGGCAAAAAACGTTATGTTATGTTTGTCTAATTTGTAAGCATCAGAATATTATACAATTACAAAACTGATTTAGGTATGAGGAGCCCTCGTAATATTTTTGTGTACTGTTGTGCTATATGGTAACTGTTGCTGCTGTAGCAGTAGCCAGCCCACGCTTCTTGTAGTCACACCAACAACCATTCTATCAACATCTAGCAGATACAGATGCAGTATTTTTCAATTTTCACATAATAAGAATGCTTCCCCCTTACTTCGGGTGGGTATTTAGGAATAGGTCTTATAAAGCATATTGTATTAAGACAGTAACTATTGAATATATATTTAAACCATTTTCTTATGTTGAACAATCAATAATTGAAGTATACTCAGCAGCAAAAAAACACGTCAGTTGGAATTCAAAATTAGATAGGCACTGTAATCAAATCATTACAGAAATGGACATAATAAGCGGATCAAAAACATTGTTTGTGTACAATATCTTGACACATCAATGAATAACTCATTCACAATTTCAAGACACTACGTTAACGTTTGCAGTCCATTCAGACTCTTGACTGCAGTACCTAGTATGATCACCACGAGCGGCAATAACTGCAGCACAGAGTCTATGCATGGGGTGCACCAATCGATTGATGAAGGTCATTGGCACCTGGAACCACACTCTGAGAAGGGCGCAATAAATCGGCAGTGTTTGGCCTTGGTATCACATCAGTCTCCTCTGAATTTCATCCCAAAGATGTTCAATTGGGTTCAGATCAGGATTAGGGGATGGCCACTGCATAATGTTGACACCGTTCTGCTGTAGGAAGTCCCGTGTAGCTCTGGCAGTATGGGCCCGGGCTGGAAAATGTTATTCCGGTGACGTGCGAAATGTGGTATGGCATGGGGTCTGAGTGCTTGGTCGATGTAGCGCACCGCTGTGATGCCGGCTCCTCTCTCTGGTTCAGGCCTATTCCACCCCATACCATGATGCTCGCACCTCCCCATGAGTCTCTTTCCATAGCACATTGATCTGAGTAACGCTGACCACGTCGTCGCCATATTCTTGTTCTGTCATCTGCAGTTGATACGCAGTACCGACTCCCATCTGTGAACAGAACAGTTCTCCATTGCCTGTATCGCCAGTTTTGGTGTTGTAGGGCAAACTGTAGACGTTCACGCCGATGACGAGGGTGAGGATAGGTCCACGGTTAGGTCTATGGCGATGGAGGTTCCCGCTGTTAAAACGTAGGCGTACTGTATCAGTACTGATCGGTCTTCCGTTTGTTCCCCACTGTCTGGCGTGCTGTTTCGGAAGCCTGCACGAAGGGATTCTGTACATGCTGTTGCACAACATGGCGGTCTTGTTCTCTTGTGGTCACCCTTGGTCTGCCAGTACGGAGGCGATCATTTGTGGTGTTGGTGGCGCGGAAAAGTCGCTGCATCCTGAAGATGGTCCGAACGTTGACCTGGAAGTGATTCTGCTGTAGGAAGTCCCGTGTAGCTCTGGCAGTATGGGCCCGGGCTTGAAAATGTTATTCCGGTGACGTGCGAAATGTGGTATGGCATGGGGTCTGAGTGCTTGGTCGATGTAGCGCACCGCTGTGATGCCGGCTTGTGCAGTGTGGCCAGCTTCAAGTCTTCCTAGCGCCTGGTTCCTCTGAGCTGTCGTGAGTCGCGGCATCCTGCTGACGTTGTAATGTGAATGTTTCAACCAGGTTTGGGGGTGCATTTTATAGGGCTGGTCCTTGTGAACAGCATGTGCAGCATGCGTTGCCTGTAAAACATGGAGTACACCGTACCATCACCGAGGTCAGGTTGCGTTTTGGGAAAGAATGTCTTCGCTCAGGTAAAGTTGGAGATGTTGTCAAAAATATACAATCAAAACATGAAATGAGTTTACAGTTACCCGTTTCTGCGAAGGAAAATTCCAAACTGACGTTTCTTTTGCTGCTTAGTATATGTGCATGTTGTTTTCGTATCGTCTCTGGTACAGCGACACCTGCGCGTTTAAGACTTTCTACCCGTTCAATGGCCAAATACCTATTCATAAATACATTCGCGATTACCTTCTACCTGTTTGTGACTTATAATTTATGTAAACTGGAAATAGGAACGACCCCAGTATAGAACCACAGTGGGTCCCTACCTTGTATTACTTGAGAAACTACCACTAAAATTATTCTACAGGAAAGGCAATAGGTGTCTGGAAAAATAGTGAAATAAGCAAGTTATGATTCGGTTCCATAAATACTTTAAGTATCATAACTTCTGCCGTTTCAACTTTTATAATGAAAAGCAAACACAACATTCTATTCTTCATC